CCCACACAGTGGTGCAGCAAGGGGGAATATCACCAGCCAGGCTTGGAAGCAGCTCCTCTAAGGGTCCTGAGTGCAGATATTAGAAACGTGCCCTTCCTTCAGCACTGGAAATAAATGCCGGGGCACAACACAGATAAAGTTGTACGGCTGCAGGGATCTCACTACATTTCTCTAGCAAACGTCAACTTTGCTGAAGGCAATGACTGCTGGGAAAGAAGTCCCCAGGAGATCCCCGGGCTGCTCCCTCATCCCAGTCCAGCACAACCCTGACAGAGCCCTCCTTGGCTGCTGGAGGGCACAGCTGGGGTGAAGGCAGCCCTAGGAAGGGGAACAGGGACATTTGGAAACCCCTCTCCTCCTGAGAAGACAGCCCCGCTCCTTGCCCGAGTGCTGGGATGAGCCAGGGTTGTTTTTATTTACTGAGTGCATCAACTGCATGCCAGGACGGTGCTGGTTTGTATTAATGACGCTAAGTGAGCAATGCCCTGCGTGGCTCTGGTCTGGGCATTGGAAGTGATGTTTGTACTAACGGCCCACGTCACAGCCGAGCATCTCTCTGAGTTGAGAGCGTTGGGATAAACACAGCTGCTCAGGGTATTTCGGGACTTAGCTATTTCTGCAGAAAAGCTGCTTTGCTGTCTGACAGCGTTGGAAGCACTCCCTTTGGCACCCTGCGTTGCACACAGCACCATACACAGGTCATTGGGACAGGCTACTGCTTCACTCAGCTGGGAATAGGAGATGCGGAAGCCATCTGCCATCGACCTACCTCCATCCCAAGCCCTTTGCTCTCCCCACTGGTCAGGGAGGGCCCCTGACCGATGCCCTCCAGGCAGTAACGCCAGGTCCATGGGAGCTGTGTCTGAGCCTGGCTGAAGTCACCAGCCACAGGCAAGGCTCAGCTCCTAGTCGCTGAACTGTTCCTAAAACCTCGACTTTCACACTGGCTCAGCTCCTTTGGTGCTTCTGAGCAAGTTGCAACAAAGCCACACGCAAGCCTGTAATGAGCCGTAACCAAACCAGAGCCCTAATTTAACGCCACATAACCAGGCAAGCAGGATGACACAGGGAAGGAAAATTATAATGTCCTTTTGGGGGCACTGGAACGGAAAGTTTCCCTTTATTTCTCCATCTGCTTTTCCCGGGGCGGCTGTGCATGTGAGCCACCCAGGCTGCTGCAGGCTGGCTGACGGCACCGCCACGGCACCGCAGCATCAGCTTGGATGCACACAGCAGCTTTCTACAAACCCAGAGGCTTCGCCCATGTCAGGCCTCCAAGGAGCAGCCCTTCTCAGAGCAGAGCTGTTGCAATTTCCTGCAGTGTGCACAATGCAGGAAAGGATTACCTCTGCACATGGCTGCTGATATGCTCTCCCTCCTGATGAATGCCCCGGCCAAGTGTGGAAAGGGCACTCATGGGGCTCTGCCACCAGGCACATAGCTGAGCCCATCCTCCGCCTGCATCCTTGCTTACACCACATCCACTGGGCTCACTGGGAGCTGAGAGGGAGATGGGGCAGAGCATCCCCCCCATGGAGCTGACAGATGCAGAGCTGAGCTTACATGGGAGATCTGTCCCTGAGGAGCTCATCAAACAGGTACCAGAGCCACTCACAGCAGTGTTTGCATTGCTTTTATCGTTAACAGTTCCCAGCAGGAGAGCAAAATGCTCTTGGCTGAAACAGGGTCATGAGGGACATGTCAAGAAAGCTCATGGCAGGGGCAGAAAAGGCTCTGCATGGGGACGGACTCTGCCCTGCTGATGGGGCATGACCCCTGGGAGGTGAGATGGGGATGAGATCCCCCCCACATGTCCCACACTGCTGTGTTCATGGCCAAGTCCCCCGTTGCCCTCACGCTTGCTTTGCCTTATGCCTGGGCTCCACTCTGGCTCTCCAGGGAGAGAAACTGAGGCACAGGGCTCCTGGTCCTATTGTCAGTGCAGGCACAAGTTTTGCAGGACCCCTGATGGTTGTCTCAGCCCCAAAAGTGAGTACTGACACTGGAAGCTAAGCAGGAGGTGGAAGATGACTGAGGTGGAGCCCCAGGGGCAAGGACAAGGATAAGGACAAGGACTGGCTATTTGAAGACCCCCAGATCCATCGCCCTCAGAGCCCCAGCCCCAGCCCTCTCCCCATTGGCACACACTGAACTCTACATCCAGGAAAGCAGAGTCATTTAAACTGGATTCCCTGTGTCTTGGCTGATGCCTTCATTCCCTCGCTGAATAGTAAACCATCAAGTTAATAAAATTCTCCCATAAAAGCCATGATGCTGGCACTTTTCAACATCCTTTTTTTTTCCCATTGGTGGAATAATCATAAAACATCTGCTGTAAGGTTTCGATTAAACAAAGCAAAACATGTTTATGTTTTAAAGTAGCGAGGAAGTCAACCATGCTGGCACAAACACAGACAGAAAAGTCCCCATAACTTCCCCAGGAGCAGAGGGGACCCTTTCATCTGCTGAGTTCTGGCCAAGGGGCACAGGCCTGGCTCTGCCCTGCTGCCATCATGACACTGACAGTCCCAGTCCCTGCCATTCTTGGCAGGATGGGATTTCTGGGCACAGCCATGCTGGGACAGGATCTGGACACTTTACAAAGCAGCCCAGTGACCTAGGACACCAGCTTCCTGTGCAAAAGGGGTTTAAGCTTTTACAGACTGATTTTGAAGTGGGTGAAAAGCTCCAGGAAGCCACCAACAGGGTTGCCCAAAACTCCCATCCTTATTGTTCTCAGTGGCAAGGGGCACACAGCCTGCCAGGACTTCAGAGGTATGTTGCTTCTGGAGAAGACTTTTTCTTGTTCCTTCTGCCCTGCTCAGGGGTAGGTCAAGGTGACACCTCCAGGGTAAGAGCTCCTCCGTTAGCAAAACAAGCCAGTGAATTCAATGAAGGAAAGCAAAGAAGAGACTTCCCTGGAGCATTTCTGTTGGGAAGACCAAGGAAACCCAAACTCCTTCATGAACACAGCAAAATTTTCCTCACTGGCTCCCTGGGACACCAACCAAACATGCATCAACTGGGGTGTGAAATGACCTGCAGCCCTGAAGCCTTTCTAAACCTATCCCGTCATGGTCCTATTGCAACCTGATGCTGTTATATAGCAGGTGAAGCTGGAGTTACACTGAGCTGGGGATGATGTCTGTGCCAGGACCACTTTTGGGCTCTCAAGAAGCCTGTTTACATACAGCAGCAACATGCTTATCAACCATGGAGAGCCTCAAGTCACACTCACAGCATTGCTCCTGGTCTGCAGAAGGATTAGCTGACAGACTGGCAGCAAGGATTTAGGCTTATTTTGCTACTGTTTGGAAATAAATGACTCAGGAAATGTTCTGCTTGCAGGGAATGAAACCATCAGAAAAGCCCAGGAGATGGCTGGGTCGTTCAGGCATCAGCAACCATGCACGATCACCGGCAAAGATGCTTGTCCCTCCAGCTTCAGCTAAGACCTGTGCTGTTCAGGGCAAACACCTCTCCTTGCTCCAGCTCACATATTTGGCTCAGAGATCTCTGCTGGCGTCTGCACTGGATCATGCCAAGGCACAGCAGGGGAGACAGATCTTGTGGCCACAGGTGACCTGCCCTTGCTTGCTGGAAGTTCCCACTGGAACCAGCAAAGAGAGAGTGCTGGGTCTGGCTTGTGGCTCAGCAGCACAGGTCTGCTAATAAAG